CTCAGAGGACGCTCCCTGATGCTGGAGGAGTGTGTGGACTCCCCGAGTGCTGGCAGTGAGGGGCAGCTGGTCAGAAACTGGATGTGGTCCTCTGTGTGTGAGAGCTGCTGCAGCTCAGCGTCTTTCCTCTGCAGCTCAGTGATCTCCTGCTGCAGCTTCTGCTGAAGCTCTTTGACTCCCCTCACTGCAGTTTGCTGCTGGGATCTGACCTGCTGCTCCACATCAGAGCGTCTGTTCTGGATGAGACGGATCAGCTCAGTGAACGTCTTCTCACTCTCCTCCACTGTTTTGTCAGCAGACTGATCGATGGCCTCCACCTCCTGCTGGAGCCGCTTCACATCTCTCTGTTTGTCCTGGATTCCCTGCTGGATTTGTTTCCGCCTCCCCTCCAGCTCTCTCTGCCTCTCAGTCCTTTCTGCTGCCACTGACACTGTGTGGTGGCCTTTATGCTCATCCATCGCACAGACAAGACAGATGGACTTCTGATCAGTGCGGCAGAACAGCTTCTTCACCTCATCGTGGACAGAGCAGATGTTCTCCTGGAGCTTCTTGGAGGGCTCCACCAGCTTGTGTTTCTTTAGTGGAGGTGACTCATAATGAGGCTGAAGGTGTTCCTCACAATAAGAGGCCACACAGCTCAAACAGGACTTGATGGCTCTCAGTTTTCTCCCAGAACAGACATCACAGGCCACATCTTCAAGTCCAGCATAGCAGTGATCAGCAGGAGCAGGCTGGAGTCCAGTCTTCTTCAGTTGCTGCACTAAAGATGCCAACATGGTGTTTTTCTCCAGGACAGGCCTCGGTGTGAAGCTTTTCCTGCATTGAGGGCAGCTGTGAACTCCCTTCTGATCCTCTCCATCAAAGTGGGCTTTAATACAGCTCATGCAGTAGCTGTGTCCACAGGGAATAGCCACCGGGTCCTTCAGGACCTCCAGGCAGATGGAGCAGGAGAAGGTTTCTTTGTCCAGCTGAACTCCTTTCTGAGCCATTTCTGCTGTCAGTAACTGTTAAACAATTCAACTTTCCCCTGAACAGAACCGATCCATGAGCTCTGAGAGAGTCTGACAGGCTGGCTGACGGCTGAATGAGGAAATGAGGCTTTCCCGTCACACGCTTCCTTATGAGAGCTCAGTGGGGGGGGGCGGGACAGAGGA